TCTCAATAGAGGCAGAGAAAACATTTGACAAGGTTCAACATTCATTTATGATAAAAACTCTTGGGGCTGGCCTCGTGGCACAGCAGTTAAGTGTGCACGTTCCGCTTTGGCAGCTGGGGGTTCACCAGTTTGGATCCTTCGTGTGGACATGGCACTGCTTGACAAGCCATACTGTGGTATGCATCCCACATATAAAATAGAGGAAGATGGGCACAGATGTTAGCTCAGGGCCAGTCTTCCTCAGCAAAAAGAGGAAGATTGGTGGCAGATGTTAGCTTAGGGCTAGTCTTCCTCAAAAAAAAAAAAAAACTCTCAATAAAATGGGTATAGAAGGAAAGTATCTAAACATAATAAAGCCCGTATATGACAAACCCACAGCCAACATCATACCTAATGGTAAAAAACTGAAAGCCATTCCTCTAAGAACAGGAACAAGACAAGGGTTCCCAGTCTTGCCACTGTTATTCAACATAGTACCAGAAGTTTTAGCTAGAGCAATTAGGTAAGAAAAAGAAATAAAATGCATCCAAATTGAAAAGAAAGCAGTAAAACTCTCACTGTTTGCAGATGACATGATTCTCTATATAGAAAACCGTAATGAATTCACCAGAAAACTATTAGAAATAATCAACAACTACAGCAAAATTTCAGGGTACAAAATCAACATACAAAAATCAGCTGCATTTCTGTACACTAATGATGAACTAGCAGAAAGAGAAGTCAAGAATACAATCCCATTTACAATCACAGCAAAAAGAATAGAATAACTAGGAATAAATTTAACCAAGGAGGTGAAAGACCTATACACTGAAAACGAAGAGACATTATTGAAAGAAATTGATGATGACATAAAGAAATGGAAAGATACTCCATGCTCATGGATTGGAAGAATAAACATAGTTAAAATGTCTGTATTAACTAAAGCAATCTACAGATTTAGTGCAATCCCAATCAGAATCTCAATGACTTTCTTCACGGAAACAGAACAAAAAATCTTAAAATTTATATGGAAAAACAAAAGATGCTGAATAACCAAAGAAATCCTGAGAAAAAAGAACAAAGCTGGAGGGATCACAATCCCTGACTTCAAAATATGTTACAAAGCTATAGTAATCAAAACAGCATGGTACTGGTACAAAAACAGACACACAGATCAATGGAACAGAATTGAAAGCCCAAAAATAAAATCACACATCTATGGACAGCTAATCCTCGACAAAGGTGCCAAGAACATACAATGGAGAAAGGAGTCTTTTCAATAAGTGGTATTGGGAAAACTGGACAGCCACATGTGAAAGAGTGAAAGTAGACCATTATCTTACACCATACACAGAAATTAACTCAAAATGGATTAAAGATGAATGTAAGACCTGAGACCATAAAACTCCTAAAAGAAAATACGCTGTATACTCTTTGACATCATCTTGGCAGTACCTTTTCAAATACCATGTCTACTTAGGCAAGGGAAACAAAAGAAAAAATATATGTGAGTGCATCAGACTAAAAACCTTCTGCAAAGCAAAGGAAGCCAACAACAAAACAAAATGACAACCCGCCAACTGGGAGAAAATATTTGCAAATCATATTTCTGACAAGGGGTTAATTTCCCAAATATATAAAGAACTCACACATTTCAACAACAAAAAAACAAACAACCCGATCAAAAAATGGCCAGAGGATATGAACAGACATTTTTCCAAAGAAGATACAGATGGCCAACATTCGTACCTGTCAGAATGGCTCTAATTAACAAGACAAGAAATAACAAATGCTGGAGAGGATGTGGAGAAAAGAGAACCCTCATACACTGCTGGTGGGAATGCAAACTGGTGCAGCCACTATGGAAAACAGTATGGAGATTTCTCAAAAAATTAAAAACAGAAATACTATATGATCCAGCTATCCCAGTACTGGGTATTTATCCAAAGAACATTAAATCAACAGTTCAAAGAGATTTATGCATCCCTATGTTTATCACAACATTATTCACAATAGCTAAGACGTGCAAGCAACCCAGATGCTCATCAACTGATGAATGGATAAAGAAGATGTATGTTTATATATCTTATATATAAGAAGATGTATATGTACATATATATATATGTATGTATATATATACATACACACACACACAGTGGAACAAAATTGTGCCATTTGTGACAATATGGATGGACCTTGAGGGTATTATGCTAAGCAAAATAAGCCAGACAGAGAAAGACAAACACCATATGATTTCACCCATATGTGGAAGATAAACACATTGATAAGGAGAACAGATTAGTGGTTACCAGAGGAGAAGGGGTGGGGTCAGGGGTAAAGGGGCACATATGTATGGTGACAAATTGAAATCAGACTATTGGTGGTGAACATGATGCAGTCTATACAGAAACTGGAATATGATAATATACACCTGAAATTTACACAATGTTATAAGCCAGTATAATCTCAATTAAAAGCAAACAAAAGTTTTCTGGAAGGAATATCAAGTTTTGGTTTATATGAATATGCTGCAGATTAAACCAAGTTTCTTAACTTTTCAGGAACTCTCAATAGCCTTCCTAAGTGTAGGTGTACATTCTGAATCAAAGTGAATTAGGAACCAGTTGTGCATGTTCTAGTGGGCCAGGGTGCAATTTGTATTTTTTTAAAGAACAATGTTGCTACCTAGTGGAGAAATCGATTTCAGACCTTTCAAATAAGGCTGTTGGAGCAGGAAGACTTAAAATTCAAGGGCAAAAGATACTGGTTTATGGGAAAGAATAAGGTGGTTTTGTGGAATTCTAAGTATGAGAGAATTAAGGCAGATGTGGGGGCCCGTTAACTTAAAATTGGGTGGTATATATGAAGGAAGAAAATTAATTATACTGTGAATATAGAATTCATTATAAAATTAAAAAGAGGCTAGTGAAATTTAGATTATCAAAAGATAGTCAAAGCATAAATTTTAAAGAAAAAATGATTTCTATCTACCTGATTAACAGAAGCAGCATACATTGGTAGGTTGTAGTTATTATATTTTCAATAATTTGTTTTAGCCTTTCTTCTTTTGACGAAGTGATAATGCCCATCTCAGCAAATATAGTCAATAAAAAACAAAGAACATAAGCCCCCTCTACCTCAGTTACACTACCTAGAGATAACCATTGTTAATATTTTGGTGTATTGTCTTTCCTTTTCTTCCTCTACTATGTAGAAACATATTTTAAAATACCTATATGTTATTTTTACAGAAATGAGATCATGATATACAACTTATTTGTTAACCTGATTTTTTCACTTTATATATTTTGGACATTTTTTAATGCCATTACCTATTTTTCTAGAAAATGTTTTGACTAGGTGCATGGCATTGCCTTGGGTAGATGTATCATGATTTATTCATTGGTCCCTCATTGTTGGACATTTGGACTTTTTCCTAATTTTTCACTCTTATAAACTGTGATGAACATCTAAGTAACAGAATACTTTTCTATATCTTTAATTACTTTTTAGGATGACTTCTTAGAAGTAGTATTTGTGGGTTCGAAAACATGAACTTTTAAAGGTGTTTGATATGCATTGCCTAATTAACTTTCAAAAGATTTATTTATTTATAGATTTTTGAGGGAATCCAATGCCATATGAAAGGTCCATCCCCCCACACACTGGGTTGGTAGACATTTCCATAAACTTGTATGTTTACATTAATTTTGAAAGTCTTTGACAATGTAAGAGGCCATTTTTAAAAATCTTTATTAAAAATACAGGGAGAAAGAAGAACATCTAAAAGAGATCATTTAAAATGGAGATTTAATATAGTTAGGACAAAGATCACAATAAGGAAAGTTGTTAAGTATATGGGAGGACAATATTAGACATAATAATAACTAATCTTTATATTAAATAGTTACTATTCAAAGTACTTTACTTGTATTATTTGTTATTTAATCCTTGGCACACCCCTATCAGATAGCTATTATTATTCCCTTTTTTTATTTCTGGAAATCCTGAAACTTAAGGGAGTTAAATGACTTGCCCAGAGTCAAACAGCTGACAAGTGAGAGAGGCAGCACTTGAACTCTGGTGTGTCTGACGGAAAGCCCTTCTCTACTGCCTTTTTTATGGAGTGAATATTAGATTGAGTATGCATATTTCAATCTGATTGATTCTTGCCAGTAAATATAGACAACATCATAACTTTAAATTAGCTCAACTCTCTTTGCCTGCAAGAATTTTATGTCCTTTTTTTTAAACATTTTTTTTTCTGCTTTATCTCCCCCAAATCCCCCCTGTACATAGTTGTATATCTTAGTTGCAGGTCCTTCTAGTTGTGGCATGTGGGATGCCACCTCAACATGGCCTGACGAGCGGTGACACGTCCAAGCCCAGGATCCGAACCAGCGTAACCCTGGGCCACCACAGCGGAGCGCACGAACTTAACCACTCGGCCATGGGGTCGGCCCCGCTATGTCCTTTTTATTCTGTGTAGTTTTAGAGGATAGAAGGCTCCAGCTGTGGGAATCACAGGGATATGTTTTTTGATTAATACCAGGAAGAATTTTTCTAAATATGGGAATTATTAAAGGGCAGCTTAGTGAATTAATGAGACGAATTAGTAATACTTCTGCTTCTGGATATTTTTCTCATAGAAGGGATTCCTATATTAAGTGGGAGATTGTATAGTCCGACTCCTAAGGTCCTTTCCAACTCTAAAATATTATGATTCTGTGAGTCCACATATTTAAAATGAAGATATTTAGAAAATATGAGAACAACTTGTCTGAATGCTCTGAGAACTGTTATTCATGAAAGGCTTTTTAGAAGCTGAATACGGATCTTGTAAATCTATAGAAGATTGTGGGAAATATGGTCCTCAGAGGCAGGGACACACAGAGGAGTTTTTCTCTGTTCAGGTTTAAGAGGTAATGTGTAACAGAAAATGTTTCTTTATTGGAAATTTTCTAGGAATCAACCCCATTTCCTATTGACCAGTTTTTGTTTTTTTGTTATTTTAATTTTAGCTGAAGGAGAATTTAAGGAACACGGAGCGCAGACATCAGGAGACTCTTAGAAGACTGGAAGGCAGGTTTTTTGAAGAAAAGGTATGGCGTATTAAGGTTAATTAAGAAATACTTTTTGTACTAGAAAAACGTAAGTCTCTTTATATGCATTCTGAGACCTATCAACCTTCCATTTGGTATCTTATTATAAAATTGTTATCAAATCATAGCAGAATAAAAAACAGGGAAAATGAACCTATTGTAGATGTCTCAGTGACTAGTCTTTTTCCCCCTCCCAGTTAGAGATTCTTGAAAGCCTAAAGAGGGATTGTCATCTTACCAAGGCTTCAGGACACATGCCCCTTAGCTTGGTGTTCCCCTCGTGGAAGTAGAGCTGCATGTGCCCCATTATATAGGGGAGATGGGATTGGAGACATCACTCTGGTACACATAAGGTCTTCTCTTAGTCAAGCTGAGCTAAGGATGTTAACAAAAGCGAGCTCAAAATGTTCCGTAGCACGTCACAAACTTCCACATTTTTCTGTGCCAGTGAAGTTAATTCTCCAAGTTGTGGGAAATGCATTGGAACACTTTTTGTCTACAGAATATTTTCAGAGGCCCCATGGTGTTTCTTTAATTAATTCTTTTAATTTTTTTAACTTTTTATTTTTAGGGAAGAATTGAACAGATTCTTTTCAGAAATTGGTAGAGATGTGGGGAGTTGAGAGTGGGGCAAATAAATACTCATATCACATTTAGATAAAAGGATTTTATCTAAAAAAAAAAAAAGTAGCCGTAGGTTTCCAGTTTGTGTATCGAATAACCTGGGAGTGGGGCAGGAGCAGCATCTTTGTGCTTTCCTTCTGGCGCTTACTGGCACTGTTAGGAATGGAAGTCCTCAGGAATAGGCTGCTCTCAATTGGCTCTTCCCTCTACTCTACCCTACGCTTGATCTCTTTTCTACTCAGTGAGCATTCCACAAACAAAGGTCAGAAGTGCTTGGTCAGTGTATGGAATACCTGACTGACAGTGCTTATATAAATAGGATTTTTATGTCTGGAAGTAGGTGGTTGCTGGCCTTTCCCTCATAGTTGCAAAATGGTTAATGCAGCTCCAAAATTTGTCTATGTTTAAGGCAGAGAGAAGGGAGGCTTCTGGTGTATTTGTCCGTTTCATCTGGAAACCATAAAAGCTTTCCCAGAAGCTCCCAGCAGATTTCCTCTTACCTCTATTGCATTGGCCAGCACCATGTTATAATGGATGCTGGGAAAGTGAGTGTTTTGTTTTTCTAGCTGCTAGTGGAAGCTGGGAAGGTAAAAGGAGGATGGGAATGAGTGTTGGGTTGGCCAGCCACAGCAGTATCTGCCCCACCATGTTAGGACAAACTTCACGGTTAGGAACACACTCCTATGCTGGTTTGAGCCCCGCTGCTGCTGGTTCATGGCAATGGGCTTTCTAGTAAGCCCTGTTCATTCATCGCATACCTCAGCATGTTCCACCTGATCATGTAAAGGCTTTCCCTCAGGTTATTGGTATTTTGTTTTGTTTTCCCATATAGTCCTTTTCTGTTCTTTGAACCATCAAGCCCTTTTCCACCTGTATAGATATTTTTTAATTGAGGTAACATTGGTTTATAACACTGTATAGGTTTCAGCCACCTGCATATTTTTATACTATTCCCTCTTCTGGAATGCTCTTCCTTCATCTCTGGCTCATTCTTATTCTATATCGCTCAAACGTTGTTTCCTCAGAGATTCCCTAAACCCCAATATAAAGTTACCTCCCCCAGTTACTATCTATCTCATTACCCCATTTATTTCATTCATAGTATTTATCACAGTCTCTTATTTGTTTACTTGTTAGGGAGGCTGAATAACATCAGATTGCCTGCATGTGAATCCCTGCTCTGCCACTTACTAGCTATGCGACTTTGGAAGGTCACTAATATCTTTTTCCCTCAGTTTCCTCAGTCCTTGTCTTTGGGCATAATAATAGTATCTAATTCATAGAATTGTTGTGAGAAGTAAATAATACATGTAAAGCTCTTAGAACCATGCCTGACACATAGTAAATGCTCAGTATATTTTAATTATTATTATTATTTGGGTCCCATCTTAGAATATAAGTCCCATGAGAACAAGGACCTTATCTGTTTTGTTCACCACAGAATCTCTGGCATCTAAAAAATCTGGTACACTATTAGTGTTCAATAGGAATTTGTTGAATGAATGAATAATAACTTTCCTCATTGTATTTAGCAGAAATTTCTCCCAATACTGATGTGGAATTTTTGTTTCCTATTTATATGTCATGTTGCTGCTGCTGCTGATTCTCCTCCTCCTTCTCCTCCTCCTCTCCCCCCCCGTCCCCTCCCTTCCCCCTCCCTCTCCCCCCCCCCCTCTCTTGCTCTCTCTCTCTTCCCCCCCGACCCCCAGGAAGATTCGCCTGAGCTAACATCCACTACCACCAAAGTGGAGCATGCCAAAATTAACCACTAGGCCTCCAGGGCTGGCCCTCATGTTGATGCTTTTTTTTTTTTTTTTTAATTTGAGTTCATAATAGTTTACATCATTGTGAAATTTCAGTTGTACATTATTTCTTGTCTGTCACCACATAGGTGCTCCCCTTCACCCCTTGTGCCCATCCCTCGATCTCCTTCCCCTGGTAACCACTGAACTGTTTTCTTTGTCCATGTGCTTGTTTATATTTCCACATATGAGTGAAATTATCTGGTGTTTGTCTTTCTCAGTCTGGCTTATTTTGCTAAGCATAATTCTCTCCAGGTCCATCCATGTTATTGCAAATGGGATGATTTTGTTTTTTTTTATGGCTGAGTAGTATTGCATTGTATATATATACACCACATCTTCTTTATCCAATCATCAGTTGATGGGCACTTGGATTGTTTCCATGTCTTGGCTATCATGAATAGTGCTGTAATTAATATAGGGGTAGATATGTTACATTGGATTGTTGATTTCAAGTTTTTTGGGTAGATACCCAGTAGTGGGATAGCTGGGTCATACGGTAGTTCTATTTTTAGTTTTTTGAGGAATCTCCATACTCCCATACTTCCATAGTGGCTGCACCAGTTTGCATTTCCACCAGCAATGTATGAGGGTTCCCTTCTCTCCACACCCTCTCCAACATTTGTTATTTTTAGTCCTAGTGATTATAGCCATTTTAACAGGCGAAAAGTAGTATCTTAGTGTAGTTTTGATTTGCATTTCCCTGATGATTAGTGATGTTGAACATCTTTTCATGTGTTTATTGTCCATCTGTATATCTTCTTTGGAAAAATGTCTGTTCATATCCTCTGTCCATTTTTTCATCAGGCTGTTTGCTTTTCAGTTATGTGAGTTCCTTATATAGTATGGAGATTGACCCCTTATCAGATATATGATTTGCAAAAATTTTCTCCCAATTGGTGGGTTGTCTCTTTTTGTTTTGATCCTAGTTTCTTTTGCCTTGCAGAAGCTCTTTAGTCTGATGAACTCCCACTTGTTTATTTTTTATTTTGTTTGTCTTGTCTGAGAAGACATGGTATTCGAAAAAATCCTTTTAACTTCGATGTCAAAGAGTATACTACCTATCTTATCTTCCAGGAATTTTATGGTTTCAGAACTTATTTTCAAGTCTTTGATCCATTTTGAGTTTATTTTTGTGTATGGTGTGAGATAATGGTCTACTTTCCTTCCTTTGCATGTGGCTGTCCAGTTTTCCCAACACCATTTACTGAAGAGACTGTCTTTTTTCCATTGTATGTTCTTGGCACCTTTGTTGAAGATTAGCTGTCAGTATATGTGTGGTTTTATTTCCAGGTTTTCAGTTCTGTTCCATTGATCTGTGTGTCTGTTTTTGTACCACTACCATGCTGTTTGATCACTATGGCTTTGTAATACATTTTGAAGTCAGGGATTGTGATACCTCCAGCTTTGTTCTTTTTTCTCAGTATTGCTTTAGCAATTTGGGGTCTTTGGTGACCCCATATGAATTTTAGGATTCTTTGCTCTATTTCCATGAAGAATGTGATTAGTATTCTGATTGGGATTGCATTGAATCTGTAGATTGCTTTGGGTAGTGTCATGTTGCTTCTTTAATGGAGAAATTGGGAGGTACCCTAAGATTCCTGTGTTCACACTATGCTCTTTGCTGGCTCCTCCAGCAGTACTTGGAGTACTTCATGTCAGGTCATGTGGACAGAAGTATTTTATTTGGCATTATAAAATAAATACTTAGGTTTTTTTTTTTTTTGCTGAGGAAGACTGGCCCTGACACTTGTTGCTGATCTTACTCTTTTTGCTGAGGAAGAGTGGCCCTGAGCTAACATCTGTGCCCATCTTCCTCTACTTTGTATGTAGGTTGCTGCCACAGCATAGCTTGATGAGTGGTGTAGGTCCACACCCAGGAACTGAACCTGCAAACCTGGGTTGCTGAAGCAGAGCATACCAAACTTAACCACTATGCCACTGGCCCAGCCCCAATACTTAACTTTTTGATGTGTAAAATTTGTTGTTAGAAATATAACTCTGGGGCCGGCCCCATGGCTGAGTGGTTAAGTTCGCACACTCCACTTTGGCGGCCCAGGGTTTTGCTGGTTCAGATCCTGGGCACAGACATGGCACTGCTCATCAAGCCATGCTGAGGTGGCATCCCACATGCCACAACTAGAAGGACCCACCACTAAAAATACACAACTGTGTACCAGGGGGCTTTGGGAAGAAAAAGGAAAAATAAAATCTTTTTTTTTTAAAAAAAGAAATATAACTCTATTAAAACAGCCTATTTTCTTTTTTAGCACCGACTAGAACAAGAGGCTGAAAAGAAGATAATAATGCTGGCAGAGAGAGCCCACCAGGAAGCTGTTGTGTAAGAGACTCCTGCCTCCTTTTTCTTTCTAATAGCCTCTCTTACCTCTTTGCTGGTCTGTTTTGTTCTTATCATGCTGTCTCCCCTCTTCTCTCCTGGTTTGCTTTCTTCAAATTTTCTGGTTTACTTTCCCTCACTGTTTCTTTCTCTTCATGACCTCACCCCTTTTCTCTCTACCCTTTCTGTAGTTGCATGGTATGGAGTTAAGAACGTGGTCTTTGAAGTTAGACTGGTTCTCAACATGTATCTGACTGTAGGAAGATTTCTTAACTTTTTTGAAATTAAATTTCTTCATCTAAAAACGGGGTTAATAGAGAGGAGGTGGAGCAAAATGGTGGGGTGAGCTGACCTGGGACTCTCTCCCCTCCAAAATAAAACCAAAGAAACGGAAAAACTGAATTTCAACCAATGACCCCTAATGCCAAGACTGTCAGAGTCCTACAGAGTAATAAGACAGAGAACGGAGAGGCTGGAGCTGCCCTTGGAGGAGCTGGAACGGTGTAGGAGAGAACTTCGCTCCCTCTCCTAGAGACTGGGATTGCTGCCGTGAGTGAGGGAAGGAGCGGGGGAGGGACCGCACGACCGGGGGATTGTCCAGGACTCCCGCCGCCGGTGCAGTGGAAACCCACTGATGGGGTAAAGCTTCTGTGTGCGGGGACCCCATCAGGCCAGGGCCCTGGGAGACCAGAGAACAGAGCTGATCTGAATCCAGATTGGCGCGCACGAGAGAAACTGGCCATCCCCCCCGGCAAACCGCGCTGGGCACCACCATCTTGCCTGAAGGTGGAGAGCTCAGAACGCACAGCTCTCGACCCCAGTCTACTGGTGACAGGCTGTAACTGCAACCGAATTCTACCATCATGTGCAAATACCGCTCCTCTACCATCCAGCAATTTATAAAAGCTGCAGACCAGAAGGAAAACAATAAAAACACAGAATTAAGTCTTGAGGACTTGGAAATAGGTAAACTAAGTGAAAAGGAGGTCAGAGTAGCTATCATCAAAAAACTCAATGAGGTGGAGAGAAAGATAGAGAAACAAGCCAACAAGTTCTGGAGTTACTTCACAAAAGAGATTGAAATTATAATGAAGAATCAAACAGAATTACTAGAGATGAAAAACACAATGGACCAGATAAAACAAAATACGGATTCCCTGAATGCCCGTGTAGACATCATAGAGGAGAAAATTAGCATAATCAAAGATAGACAGGCTGAATGTCTCCAGACAGAGGAAGAAAGGGAACCAAGAATTAAAAAGAATGGGAAAATCTCCTAGAGATAGCAGATTCAATGAGGAGAAAGAATTTAAAGATCATAGGAATTCCCGAGAACATGGAAAAGGAAAATGGAGCAGAAAGTGTGCTTAACGAAATTATAGAAGAGAACTTCCCAAATCTAGGGATTGAGGGAGAAATGTGTGTAGAGGAAGCTTTCAGATCTCCTAGATTTGTCAATGTAAAAAGACCTACTGTAAGGCATATAGTAGTAAAAATGGCAAAAATGAAAGACAAAGAAGTAATACTCAGGACAGGAAGACAGAAGAAAATAACTTACAAAGGAACTCCTATCAGACTTTCAGTGGATTTCTCTACAGAAACCTTACAAGCTAGGAGAGAATGGAGTGACATATTCAAAACTTTAAAAGATAAAAATCTTCAGCCAAGAATACTCTATCCAGCAAGAATATCCTTCAGCTGTGAGGGAGAAATTAAATCTTTTCCAGACAAACAAACGTTAAGGGAATTTGTAACCAAAAGTCCTCCACTACAAGAAATCCTCAAGAAGTCTCTCATACCTGAAAAAAGAAAAAAGGGAGAAAGGGGTCACAAACCACAGAGTAGGGAGACACATAGATAGAACCAGAATAGGATAGCAAATATTCAACTATAGCATTAGGCTAAAGGTAAGGAAACTACTAAAGCAAAGACGATCTTATCACTCTAAGTACAAACTCATAACATGAGTTGGAATAAAAAATGAAAATAATAATTTAGGAGGGGAAGAGCAAAGGGACTAAATCGGTCTAGGCCAAGTAAGTAAGAGACCACCAGAGAATAAACTATATTATACACGAGATTCTAAACACAAACTTCAGGGTAGCCACTAAACTAAAAAATGGAACAGAGCCACAAAACATAACTAAGGAAAAATCTAGGAAACCCAGCATAAGAAATTGCGGTAGTCAAGGGGTAGGCTAAAGCACACAGGATGAGAAACAAAGGTAATGCAGGAAAACCAGATAATGAGCAACAGATTGACAGCATCAAGTCCACATGCATCAATAATCACCCTCAGTGTAAACGGATTGAGCTCTCCAATAAAAAGACACAGAGTGGCAAAATGGATTAAAGAACAAGATCCAACAATTTGTTGCCTCCAGGAAACACACCTCAGCTCCAAGGGCAAACACAGGCTTAGAGTGAAGGGGTAGAGGACAATACTTCAAGCTAATAGCAAGCAAAAGAAAGCAGGTGTTGCAATTCTCATATCAGACCAAGTGGATTTCAAAATAAGGCAGGTAAAGAGAGACACAGAGGGACAATATATAATGATCAAAGGGACACTTCATCAAGAAGAAATAATGCTTATAACTATCTATGCACCCAACATAGGAGCACCAAAGTTCATAAAGCAACTATTAACAGACCTAATGGAAGATGTTAAAAACAACACAATAATAGTAGGGGACCTCAACACCCCACTCACATCAATGGACAGATCATCCAGACAGAAAATCAACAAGGAAATAGTGGAGCTAAACGAAAAACTAAAACAATTGGACTTAATAGACATATATAGATCATTTCATCCTAAAACAGCAGAATACACATTCTTCTCAAGTGCACATGGAACATTCTCAAGGATAGACCATATGTTGGGAAACAAGGCAAGCCTCTACAAGTTAAAAAAAATTGAAATAATAACAAGCATCTTCTCCGATCATAATGCTATAAGGCTAGAAATTAATTACAAGAAAAAAGCTGAGAAAGGCACAAGGTTGTGGAGACTAAACAATACGCTACTGAACAAGCAATGGATCATTGAAGAAATTAAAGAAGACATCAAAAAATACCTGGAAACAAATGAAAATGATAACATGCCATACCAACTCATATGGGATACAGCAAAAGCTGTATTAAGAGGAAAATTCATTGCAATACAGGCACATCTTAACAAACAAGAAAAATCCCAAATAAGCAATCTTAAACTACACCTAACTGAACTAGAGAAAGAAGAACAAATAAAGCCCAAAGTCAGCAGAAGGAGAGAAATAATAAAAATCAGAGCAGAAATAAATGCTATTGAAACAAAACAGGTGGTAGAAAGGATCAATGAAACAAAGAGCTGGTTCTTAGAGAAGATAAATAAAATTAACAAACCCCTAGCCAAACTTACAAAGAAAAAAAGGGAGAAAGTTCAAATGAACAAAATCAGAAATGAAAGAGGAGAAATAACAACAGACTCTGCAGAAATACAACGGATTATAAGAGAATACTATGAAAAACTATATGCCAACAGAATGGATAACCTAGAGGAAATGGATAAATTCTTGGACTCCTACAACCTCCCAAAGCTCACTCAAGAAGAAGCAGACAATTTGAACAGACCAATCACAAGGAAAGAGATTGAAACAGCAATCAAAAACATCCCAAAGAATAAAACCCCAGGACCAGATGGCTTCCCTGGGGAATTCTACCAAACTTTCAGAGAGGATTTAATACTTATCTTTTTCAAGCTATTCCAAAAAATTAGGGGAGATGGAACACTTCCTAACACATTCTATGAGGCCAACATCATGCTGATATCAAAGCCTGACAAGGACACCACAAAAAAAGAGAACTACAGGCCAATATCACTGATGAACATAGATGCAAAAATTCTCTAACAAAATTTTGGCAACCAGAATTCAGCAATTCACCTAAAGGATCATACATCATGATCAGGTGGGATTCGTACCAGGGACACAGGGATGGTTCAACATCCGCAAATCAATCAACGTGATACACCACATCAACAAACTGAGGAATAAAAACCACATGATCATCTCAATAGATGCAGAGAAAGCATTTGACAAGATCCAACAGCCGTTTATGATAAAAACTCTGAACAAAATGGGCATAGAAGGAAACTACCTCAGCATAATAAAGGGCCATATACGACCAACCCATAGTCAACATCATACTTCAATGGGCAAAA